GTGTGTGTGTGTGTGTGTGTGTGTGTGTGTGTGTACATGTGCCATAGTGTGCATAGGACTGTTAGGACACCATGTAGATCCCAGGGATTGAATTCAGGCTGTCAGGCTTGGTAGCATATGATTTATAGGTAAGCCATCTCATAATCCCTCATTTACTGTTTTTATACTAGAAAATTGACTTAAACCCAGAGAGCAGCTAGACATGGGTAAGTGCCATCACGCTTCTAGCACTGAGGAGATGGAGACAGAAGGATGGGGGGTTTGGTAGCATCAGCCACCTAGCAAATCTGAGAGCAACCTGGGTGTCATGAGACTCTCTGAAGAAGCAAGTTTTTCTGTCTCTTTTACTCTTTGAGGAATGATACAGTGTGGTGTGTACTCGTGTGATTCTTAGAAACTAGGTATCACATAAGTATATGTATAAACAGTGTCTTCTTAACTTGCATTTTTACAGGAGGCACTTTTTTACCTCCAAAGATAAAATTTTAACTTGAAAATAAGCAGTGTATTATTTTGTTTGTTTTAGGTATTATACACAGTTAGAAGGTGGAAGGGTTCCTGTCTATGCGGTTGTTTTTCAAGAACCTGAGAATGATCCTCGTAATTGCTGTTACTTATGGGCTGTTCAGTCCACACAAGATAGGTTAGTATGCCTGTGGTTTTTAGAACACATGTCATCAAGGCTGAGGATATAGCAGTAAAGGAGTCAAAGTGGAACAATTTGTTTCTTTTGAAAAGTTTGAATTGGATTACCACTGCCAGATGTTGGGATGGCATCTCCCCTCATCCTGTGTATGCCTTGCACATGATTGATTTGGCGCCTTGCTTCATGTCCTTGTCGTGAAGTCCCCTTTCTTGTGTAGGGCTTGATCTTCCTAGGAAAGAGTGTGGAGGGAAAGGGGGCATGTCTCTGAAGGGATGCTCTACCATGGGATGATTCTGTTCATACTCTTATTGGCCAGGACTTAGTGTGGTGCAAAGGAAGGTGAGAAATGCAGTTGATATTTTTAGGCAGCCATGTATATAAAACTAAAATCCGCTCATTAGAGGAGGAATATCTGAGAAAGAATATTGGGGGGGAAAATGGTAGAATATGTCACATATTGCATTAATTACATTTTGTACAAACAAGAAAATAATCTTTTGTACAACTGAAGTTTGTCACATGCAGTCAGTGTGTTAGTGAAAAATTGGGAAGGTAAGAGGTAAACTCCATGTTTTAGGTCTTGAGTAATTTCTCTTTTCTTTCAGTGAAGGGGATGTTTTGAGTTTGCATCTGCTTCAGCTGGCATTTGGTGATAGAAAATGCTTGGCTTCAGGCCAAATCTTATATGAGGTAAGTGGTTAATTAGAATATTACCATTTTGGGGTTTTTGTTTTTTGTTTTACATTCTTTGCTTTATCATACTGAAGTTATTCTTATTCAAATTAAAATTATGTTTATCACTTAGTGGGATAGATACTAGGCTAGTGAGCACAAGCTTTCTATTGGTTTTCGCTTGTTTGCCATTTCAGTGCTCTAAATTTTTCTGGGTATTTCCCCCATAATAGAGAGACTGGACTGGATTCATGTGTGTGACCTAACTGTAATACCCAGGAGAAATGCTTCCAGCTTTGTTCTAACATATCAAGCAGTGTACGCCATGGAGAAAACGTCAGGGCATATGCATCAGAATGCTCAGACAGATGACTGCTTATTTTTCTAACCAGATTTCTAAAATTAGAGGAATATTACTAATAGCTACATTTTCTGAACTCTATAGCAGGTTTTTTAGAACTTAGTGTTGAGTTATCTGGATGGGTTTTAGGGGATTTATGAACTGTAGTTTCCATTATGAATTTTCCTGGGGAACATCTCAGCCTTTTGTTAGATCTTAAGGGAATCTATGATTAAGAAAGAATTCTAAGCCTTTAATCCCAGCACCAGGCAGAGGCAGGCAGATCTCTCTGACCTCGAGGCCAGCTTTGTCTACATAGTAAGTTCCAAGGCAGCCAGAGCTACATAGTGATCTCCTGTCTCAAAAAGGGGGGAGGGGGTGTTGTTAAAAACTATTCTTGTTCATTGAGCAAAAGTTTCTCCTTTGATTAAGAATTAATATTTAGTCTTTTGAGGAAAGGCAGCCAGGGGCTATGTAGAGAGACCTAGTTTCAAAACAAAATGAAGGAAAAAAACAAAAATGATTTTATCTGTATTCTTAATCCTAGTTTTGAGAGTTTACATGTAAACACAGAAATAGATTTGCTGGCCTGGGTTTTTGACTACATACTCCAACTGCTAGTGCATAATGCTCTCATGCTTTGTACAACTTTACAACAGTTGTTGGTGATTGTTTTTTGAGAGTGTAAATCTAGCTTGATAATTGCAATATAGTTATGTGTATATAATTTATAGCCTTTGGAGTGATTAGTTCTCTTAAAGCTTTTGTGTAGAAAACTTTTAGCATGGAAATAATTTTAGAAAACTTTTACTTAGATAATGTTAAAATTTTTGCTCATTTTATTTTGCAGGGATTAGAATACTGCGAAGAAAGATACACACTGGATCTAGCAGGTGGCATGTTACCCTTAAGAGGACAGACTAGTAATACTAAATTATTGGGATGCCAGAGTATAGAGAGATTCCCATCTCATGGTGACAGGGAAGAAAGTATGAGAGAAGGTTGGTTAAATACTCCTAACTATTTTGTGTTGTGATAACTTAAGATTTATGACAGGTTTCTAGAACTAATATTTCTGACAGTTGAAAATTAAGACCCTGGTTATGTTGTTTATTTAGGCTTTTAGCTCTTTCTTCTTTCTGGATTACTATTCAGAACTGAAGAATGAGTGATCCTTGTGTTTGACTCCAACACAAAGGTGGGGTCTCCATTGTAATTAGTGTAACTTGTCTTTGGATGGTTTCTTATCTGTGTTTTTTTGTTGTTGTTGTTTGTCATTTGTTTATCTTTAGCCGTGGTGTATGTTATTTATTTTCAGCCATGCTGTGTTTATCTTGACCTCCAATTTTCTTTAGTATTTCCTTCTTCTGGGTAAAGATCCTAGGGTAGATTTCTTTGCATTCAGCATTGATCCATTTTCCGGTGTAGCCTTTGACATTTTGCATTTGAGTCCACATCCAAATGAACATGTCAAAAACTTACCCTGCCATCTTCATATTTCTTGTCCACATCTTCCTTTTTAAGTTACCATAAGTGGTATCTGAGGTTTTACTTTTCTCTCTCTGCTGAGGCCCCCTTTCTGGTCCTGTGCTCCTGCCACAGACTAGGTATTTGTTTTGCCTCTGAAGAACTGACCCTCAGTACTTAGAGACACCCATTTTGGGTATTGGATAAACTTCTGTGATAGCTGTATACCATCCTTGGGGGAATAGTCTTTGGAGTCACTTTGTATTTTTTACTTTGGTGTGTCATAGTCACAATATTAACTGAAAACAAAGAGCCTTCTGATGAGAACTTCCCAGTAGCTAAAGAGGGACATGCAGTATAAGTGAAACTCAAATGATGGATAAGAATGAAATGATACTGTGATTCTTTATTCTGTTTTTGAAAAATAGTTGTTTTTTGTTTGTTTGCAGCTCTGTCCCCTGATACCAGTGTTTCTGTCTTCACCTGGCAAGTGAATATATATGGACAAGGAAAGCCCTCTGTGTACTTAGGACTTTTTGACATTAACCGTTGGTATCATGCTCAGATGCCAGATTCATTAAGGTATGATTACTGTGTTTTCTCACCCCCTTTTCCGTCAGATACTGTTATGCATAGCTGATCAGTGTCTTAGTACTTTTTAAATCTTTTTTAGGTCAGGAGAGTCTCTACATAATTGCTCTTATTTTGCATTGTGGTCATTGGATTCAGTTGTCAGTAGGACTTCTCCACATCACATCTTGGACATACTGGTTCACGAGAGAAGTTTAAATCGAGGAGTTGCTCCTTCATATCCTCCTCCAGAGCAGTTTTTTAACCCAAGTACTTTTAATTTTGGTATGTATTTTCATAATATTTTGAGGAAAATAATTTGTAGTATGTCAGTTGTATATTTATTCAGTTTATATATGTCATCTGTTCATATCTTACTGGCATTTAACTTAGATAACTTTGTTAATACACAGTTAAATGTACATGAGAAATTTAGGATGTGTAAATACTACTTTGAATCTTTTAGAATGTCAGTTAATATGTTAGTGATAGTTTTATTTTTTTAAGAGGGTGGTGATTTATTCTATATAATTTGGTTACTTGCAGTAAACATTTAATTTGAATTTTAAAATCTTTTTCTTTTTAAGACGCCACTTGTTTATTAAACTCTGGAGTTATCCATGTAACTTGCACTGGATTTCAGAAGGAGGTATGTGTGAGTAACAACACTTGGAGTTCAGTAATTGAGCTTAAGTTGAATGTTAACAATAATTTCACAGATTTAAACTCTCATGGTATTTGTAAACTAATTCATCTTAAATAGTAGTTTCTGCTAGGTTTATGAGTTTAGCATCTTGCTACCTCAGTTTTAATGATAGCTTGCTAGAAGAGACATTGGAGTGTGGATGTTATCTACTTGAACACCAATCACATCTGGGTGGTTGCTAGGAAGACAGGGTTTCTCAGATGATTGTTCTAGAACTGCAGCGCCGTTTGCTCTGCCTTTTATGTGCTGGGGTTAAAGACTGCACCACAGCTGTGGCTCATCCTTTGTGTGGTGGCCTGGGGAGGGCTTTGCCTTGGCTCTTCTCAGAAATAATACAAAGTTGACATAGGGATGATGGAAAATAGTTTTCTGGGGTAACGTGATGTGCAGATGTGGTAATCAGCCACATGTAATTAGTTGCTGTGTCTTAGCTGTCTTAGTGCTATATCATTCATGATAAACATTTCTTGAGTTCAGGAAACTGTAAGCTCCTTAACTTGATCCTGCAATTTAATCAGTTTTCCATTATTTCTATAGTTATTTTTGTTTTACTCAAATTTTAAATATAAAGTATTTATTAAATTGGATTTGAGTTATTGGTTGATTTTGGACTGATTTTTCTATTACAGACTTTGACATTTTTAAAGAAATCAGGACCATCTCTCAATGAAGTCATTCCTGATAGTTACAATCGGTGTCTTGTTGCTGGTCTTCTCTCACCAAGACTTATTGACATTCAGCCTTCCAGTTTAAGTCAAGTGAGATAGCTAACTATTTTTTCTTTCTTTTGAATTGCATGTTACTATCTATTGCAATATGAATATAACTCTATAGCATATTTTTTGCAAAAGTAGGTAATGTGTTTCATGCTCATTCTATATCATGCTATTTATCATGCTTGGGATTTGGCTTCCAAGTCACCTAATTTAGCTAGAGAAATGGCTAGCAGTTAAGAACAATTGTTGCACTTGCAGGAGATCCAGGTTCAGTTCCTGGGATCCATATGGTGTCTTAAAACCATCTGTAACTTTAGTTCCAGGGGACTTGATGCCCTCTTTTGACTGCTGCAGGCACTGTGTGTACATATGCATGGTACACTTACATAAATGTAGGCAAAAACACCTTTAAAAAAGTCACACATAGAGGTGGGCCTGGCAATGTAAGCATGTAATTCTAGTTACTGAGGGAGCAAGATCACAAGTTTAAAGTCGGGCTGGGCCACAGAGTGAATTCAATGCTTGCTTGTACAATTTAGTAAGACTCTGTCTTAAAAATAAGAGGACTGAGGATAGAGTGCTTACCTAGCATGCCCTGGGCTCCAGTTTCAGTCCTCAGTACCACTGGTAAATGTAAAGACAGTTTGTGATTCCCTTAGCTGTCTAGTTGGTTCTCTCAAACATGCTGTCCAAGTCTTCTGAGTCTCCCATTTTCCCACCTCCATACCAATGCTGGTTATTACCATCCTTTGCTTTTCTCACTGTTTTCCAGGTTTGCCTCAAACTTGTGATCCTCCCATCTTAACCTTCCAAGTGCTGGAACTCTAGGCATGCTATTTATTGTCTCTCTGCCGTTAGCCAAACTGGGGAGTCATAACTATTTTCCAGCCTTTCACTGCTTGTAATTTCATAGTGGTTTGTTTTTTGTTTTTTTTCCTTTAACATGGTTTAGGAAGAACAATTAGAAGCTATATTGTCAGCAGCAATTCAGACAAGTTCCCTGGGACTTTTGACTGGGTACATTAGAACATGGATAACAGAAGGTAACAGTTTAACTTTTTAAAAATGAAATATATATTTTTAAAATTACAGTTCATGGTTTCACTTTTTAGTTAAACTTTTTGTGAGATAATTATAATTCACATAAACTTGTACAGCATAATAGAGTGAATCTGTATATGATTTATAGCAGTTTTCTTCCCTGAGTGACCTCTTGTGCAGTATCACATCCAAGATCCTGAGCATAGCCGTCCATATCCGCCTCCTCCTGCCCGGTGCCTGAGCACTGATGTGCCCTCGACTGCCTCAGTGTCATTTCTTGTATGAACGTGAACTGAGTCGAGCAGAGTGTAACTTCTACATACCTTTCCACTCAGCTAGATTCCCTGGAGATACATTGTGTATCTCTTGCTCCTTACATGTATCTATATATATGCATACGTGCGCTCTGCCCTGCCCCTGTATTGTTTTGTTGTAAACAATTTGAAAGAAAGCATTCTGCTTCTTACTTATTTCAATTTTATTTTATCTGAAAACAAATGATGCTCACCTATAAAAACTTCGTGATTACAAACTGAAGGGCAACACCAAGTGAGAACTTACCAGTGTTCCAGAATACAGCATCTTTTGTGTTTTTGAGTTGTTTGGGCAATTTTGTTTATTTTAGATAGGTTTCTCTGTGTAGTCCTGGCTGTCCTGGAACTCACTTTATAGACCAAGCTAACCCCAAACTCAGAGATTTGAATATGTCTGCCTCCTGAGTGCTGGAATTAAAGGCATGTGCCTAAAATAAGTTTTCAGTCTTTTAATATTCCAAAATTTCTAAAGTCAAATTTAAAAGACTATAGGCCAGATTTTTGGTTTTGGTTTTGGTTTGTTTTGTTGGTTTTAGTTCTGGTTTTTCCAGATAGGGTTTCTCTGTGTAGCTTTGCAGCCTGTATTGGAACTGGAACTCGTTCTGTAGATTAGGCTATCCTGAAACTCACAGAGGTCTGTCTAGCTCTGCCTGGACTGGGATTAAACATTTCACCACCCTGCTTGTTTGTTTAAGATTGCTTTCTAGTTTCTAATAATTGATCTTCCTCATAACCACTCGCTACCTCTCCTCAACTTCATTGGGTTTTGTAGCTTGGGCAGCATGGTTCCTGCGATAAGGTGTACCAAGATAAATTTGGTAGAAGTTGGTCTTAAATACGTGAGCTTGGTTAAGGTGCCTCCTGCATGGTTCCTCTTACAAAGAACTAGTTTTCATTTTGGAGTTAATAACCATTCTTTTTATCTTTATTCTTTTATAAATACAAATAAGAACAACCAAATTCTGCTGCTAATCTACGTTTTGTTCTTGAATGGACATGGAATAAGGTGGTTCTCACAAAAGAAGAATTTGACAGGCTTTGTAAGTATTAAGTCTGGGTTCAGGGCAAATTTCAATAGTTTGAATCTAATGTTGATGTTTTATTTTCAGATAGGGCATTTGTCTGAGACAAGGTCTCAGTAACGTAGGCTGACATGACCCTCACTATATATAGTCCATGCTTGCACTGAACTTGGGCTGAGGCTCCCTCTAGCCTCCGTGTGCTTTGAATTACATGCATGAGCCATCACATCTAGCTCAGTAGTAGTTGTAATATTTGGGTCATGAAAAATCTTAAGATTGGCCTTTAATCCCAGCACTTGGGAGGCAGAGGCAGGCGAATCTCTGAGTT